GACATCAGTACTGCTGCAATTGTTGAATTATCTTCAGCAACAGTTTACTTGCATGTGATGGTAATAATATTGTTCAGTATTTTCCACATTCTTTTGGATCACTTTTCTTTGGAATGGGCGAGGATTTGGATCTCTTCCAGCCTATTGTCCAAGTTTCTTGGCATAGATGAGTGAATGCTTCCAGCACCGTATTGGTTTGCTAAACCATTTCATTTGACATTTCCTCAATTCCCAGAGCCTTGTTTTTTCTTTGTTCACGTCTTCAGGGCAGCGTGGACTTCTTTCTTCAATGCCATTGGTTCTTGGTCATTTTCTGCCTTTTTAATGGCTGATAGTTGACCAATTCGTTTTGGTGTAATGATTCTGTGTATTCGTTCCATCTTCTTTTGATGCATCCTGCATCACCCAATATTTTCCCCTTCTTGAATTATTTTTCTTCAGTTCTTTCAACTGGACATATGCTGAACATGTCCTTCCCGTTTGGTTTTGTTGCTCCGAGTGCGTGCGCCCGTGCGCGCGTGCGAGCATACACACACACACACACACACACACACACACACACACACGTGAATTTAATTTGTAAGCAACACACAATCAAGAAACTAAACATCCCCAGCCTTCTAGATGCTTCCTTCGGGGCTGGGTCCACTGGGGTCCAGAGCCTCCCAGCTGATGAGAATAGATGGGTTCAATTATTCCCAGTTCCAGGTGCAGTGATTAACAGTGTAAAATCAGCCGCGGTTGGAATATTTACCTGGACACTGGCAACTGCTCGAAGCCAGGGCTTCTTTTTGTGTTTCCGAGTCAGTATTCCTGCCCACCACCACCCCTGTTTGTTCCCAATCTCTTCCCCTCACCCACCCCACGGGTAATTGCAGCTCTGACTTTTAACACAGCAGGTATTCCATTTGCCAGTTTGGGAACTTTGTACAAATGGAATTAACAGATGGGAATTTTTCATGTGTACTTTCTTTCACTCAACATTGTGCTGTGACAGTCGTTCATGTCGTTAGGCACCGGCGGCAGGTGTGTACGAACCACAATGTACTTGGCACTTCTGCTGATGGTGGACGTTTCTGTGGGCTGTGAGTCTTCTCCATTATGAAAGTGCCACATACTTCTTTACACTGGAAAGTCATTTTACTATATACCACATATACCCGTGTATAAGCAGAGTTTTTCAGCACATTTTAAATGCAGTTTTTGTGGAAAAATTAGGGGTCTTGACTGATTGTCCGGTCAGCTTGGACTCAAGTATATACGGTACTTTAGAAAAGATCTTATTCTCACATTTTAATACGACGATGATTACATAGCGATTGCTTCTCTTTATGGACAAGTGCTTGGAAACCCAGTGGATTGAGAACGGGTCTGTCATTTAGTCATTGCTCTTTTCACAGTAGTACAGGTCCATCATGCTTTATTGTGATGCATTTTATATCGTTTCAAGTGGTGCTTTTTTTTTTTTTTTCAAAAACAAATCAAAGGCTTGTGGCAATCTGGTTCCAAATAATCTCTGGCACCATTTTCCAAACAGCGTGTGCTCACTCCATGCCTCTGTGTAACATTTTGGTAATTCTTATATGATTTCAAACATTTTCATCATGCTACTGCATCTTTCAGAGACTCCGTCAATTGCAGTGCAGGTATAATTGCACTGGGAAACCAAACTACGTGTGCACTCACGTGATGGCAGTAGTTGCCTTATTGCAGTGGTCTGCGACTGAACCGGTGCTGTCTCTCTGAACAGATGTAAGAGGATTTTTGGCAAGGTCTAGCAAATGCACACTTTACTCTTTTTACTGAATTTTAAAAGTTGAAGCAATCAATCAGAACCCGACTTCTACTGACCATCTAAGCTATCTTGAATGACTACAGTGTTACACAACTTAAAAAAATGGTTTTCAAAGTGCAATATCTTTATATTGCATATCTAAATCTGTACTGTTAGAATAAGGTGCCCCGGTGATGCAGTTATTAAGTGCTTGGTTGTCAGAGCTTTGAACTTATCAGTTGCTCGGTGGGAGAAAGATGTGGCAGTCTGCTTTTTAAAATTATTTTATTGGGGGCTCATACAACTCTTATCACAATCCATACATACATCCATCCATTGTGTCAAGCACATTTGTACATATGTTGCCATCATCATTCTCAAAACATTTGCTTTCTACTTGAGCCCGTGGTATTAACTCCTCATTTTTCTCCTCCCTCCCTAGTCCTCCTCCCCCATGAACCCTTGATAATTTACAAATTATTATTATTTTGTCATATCTTACACTATCCGACATCTCCCTTCACCCACCTTTCTGTTGTCCATCCATCAGGGAGGGGGTTATATGTAGATCCTTGTAATCTGTTCCCCCTTTCTACCCCACCTTCCCTCCACCCTCCCAATATTGCCACTCTTACCACTGGTCCTGAAGGACCCATCTATCCTGGATTCCCAGTGTTTCCAGTTCCTATCTGTACCAGTGTACATGCTCTGGTCTAGCCAGACTTGCAAGGCAGAAATGGGATCATGATAGTGGGGAGGAGGAAGCATTAAAGAACTAGCAGAAAGTTGTATGTTTCTTTGTTGCTACACAGCACCCTGACTGGCTCATCTTCTCCCTGCGACCCTTCTGTAAGGGGATGTCCAGTGTGGCATTCTGTTTTTGTAAGGATTTCAGCCTCGGGAAATTTATGGGGCAGCTCTATTCGGCCCAATTGCACTGCTAAGAGCCAGAATTGATCCCACAATTGGTAGAACAGCTCAGTGTGGATGAGTGCTGGGACATTTTTCTATTTAAGATTCCTCGGCCATTTCCATTTTTATCTGCAATCAAGTTTCCATTACTTCTCGAGATGGCCAGCACTCGTTCCATCTGTTGCACTATCTGAGCTGTCAGACTGGGGTTTCACCACAGGCAGATCATGTCTCATCCATGCTGTTGTAGGTAATGACTGGGGCGCATCATACATGCTTATTGAATAATTAGGTGACTATCAGGATTAAGGAGCCCTTGTGGCATGGTGCTTTAGGTGCTGGATTGCTAACAGAAAGGTTAGTGGTTCAAACCCATCAACCACACTATGGGAGAAAGATGAGACTGTCCTGCTTCCATAAAGACTGATAGTCTTGGAAACTCTCCAGAGGGTGGTTAAGAGTCAGCATGGATGCGATGATTGCGGGTTTTGTCCTTGTGGGAAGACGGCTGCCAGATGACATCTTAATATAAAGATTAGATATTAATTTCCCCTAAATTTTGGACTTCTGTATAGAGCCAGAAAAGATTTTCCAAAGACAACTACTCCCGTGGACCCTCCCAATATGAAGAGCAGCAAAAGCAAAGACTCGGTCCGTCCATCAGGTGTTCAGGCCACTGTTCTAGTCCGTCCCTTATCCCGTCTCCCTTGGAAGGGGAGGCTGTGCTGCACGACACAGAACTGTAGTAGTAATGGAGCTCCAGCCTACAGCCTAGAGCCAGAGAACACCCAGAAAAGGGGCTCTTTATGCAGGAACAGGGAGAGAGCGTCTGGGGCATGCACTCACAACGTGAGTCAGGGTAGGACCAGATTTAGAAACAAACGCCTCAGCAGTCAGTTCCAGGAGGAAGCAGGCCTGGACATGGAGCGATCTTTGCCTTGCTTTGCCCTTGGCCAGCTGGGTGCTTGGGTGTAAGTCACCTCACCTCTGCTCGCCTTAGTTTTTCATCTTCGAAGAAGGGAGTTGGCCTTCATGAGCAACCATGCCCTTTCCAAGGCAGCTAAGACTCTGAGCACTCAGTTCTGGGTGTGTTCATGCCCAAAAGAAATACCTTTCTTTCCCATTGCCAGCCACACAAATCCATGGAAGAGACAAGGGGCAGGTGGCGCCCACAGCTAGAAAATAGAAAGTGAGTTAGTCTGGTCTATAAGTCCAAATCCTTGCTGTCCCCTCAGTATTGTTCACGGCCAGGTTTCCTTTAATGTGGCTGTTGCTGTCGAGTGGTTACAACGTGTAGTGAGCCTATGAACAACAGAAGAAAACACAGCCGGGGTCTGTGCCATCCCACAGCTTTGATGTTGGTGCCCGTTGCTGCAGCCCGTTGTGTCAGTCCGTCTCATCGAGGGTCTACCTCTTTCTGACTCACCATCCACATGCCAAGCATGCAAATAGCCAGACCATCCAATTCACTTTCATTTCCTATGTGGCATTTCGCTATGTGGCAAAGATTTCGATCACGTGCCAATCATCTTTCTACACTCAAGTCTTTCTTTACAAAAATTGGATTGTTTCCTATGGAAGACTATAAAATTAAGCAAAAGCCTGTGAAATCGCTCAGCTGAGACCAACCGTCTTTAATTCACTTGCTTTCTTTACTTCCTCGTGTCACTTAATTGTGCAAGCCAGTCATAGATGGTGGAGGGAGCGCCGTGTGTGAGAGCGATAGAAGATGTGCTCTGAGCCTCTGTCACAGACCACTGCTGCTGCTCTTAGGTGCTCTCGAGCCGATGGCTAGAGCAAAGAATCTGTCCTCGGGGGAACAGCTTGATCACTTCAGCTGCATCGCAGCCATTGGACACCCTCCAGAGTCACTTCTACTCAGGCACACACGAGGTTGCCAGGCGTTGCAGTTGACTTTTCAGCCACTGTTTTTCAAGTTACCTGTGGTCCGATGCCCTCCAGGGAGGGAGTTAAAGATGATGCCTTGTCAATCCCCACCATCTTTCAAGACCTGTTATTATCTCTTGACCAATATTGATGACCTACTAAAGTGACTCATGCCATGTGGGTTGCATATGAAATAAAGGAAGTTCCATTCTACGTGAAAATGGACTTCTGTCTTGATCAATATCAATGTGGATGTCAGCATCTCTAAGTCAGGATGGAGATGATTACAGTTCTGCAGTCTTTAATAATAACAACATACTGGATTATTCTGTATGATAGTATCTTGGGCATTTCAAAGGAGAGTACATTGACTCTCCTCCAATGATATTTTTTCTGTTTCTGGTTTTAGCTTGTTACCAGTTTCACAATGGACTCCCTTGTTGCAGCAAACACCAAATTTTGCTTCGATCTTTTCCAAGAGATAAGCCAAAACGACCCTCACAGGAACATCTTTTTCTGTCCTCTGAGTCTCTCAGCGGCCCTCGGCATGGTCCGACTGGGGGCGAGAAGCAGCAGCGCTGATCAGATCGATAAGGTGAATATCTGCTGAGGTGCCTCGCTTCTCTCAGGCCCACACCCAAAGGGAGCTACTGGTCCCCTGAAAAGCTGGCTTGCTTCCTGCGCCTGGGGCTTGTTAGAGCCTGCTTCTGCCTCTGGGTTTCATTGTGTTTTCCCACCCCACCGGCTTGCTTTCTAACCTTCCAAATTCCTTCATTTGTCAAGGTGCACTCCCCCCCCCACCCCAGCCTCCTGTATGATGCCTCCATAGTCTTCCCGGATTTCCCAGTTAACTTTTACCTCTCTTTCTCTTTCTGCCGGCATGTTTGCCTTCCACGCCGTAACGCTCACTAACGCTATGTCCAGCACTTGAAGTCTGTGTGTACGTCTGCTTTCATCTCTCAGGAAGTCAGGACTCACGAAGCACCGACGATGGCTCTGGTGGCCTTGACTAAGGAGCTTGGCGTCATCTCGATCCCTCTTTCGCTCTCATCTCACAGCAAATTGTTCTAAAGTCCCGTGGACATTTCTTTCGAAATTTGTCCAGAGTCTAGTCCCCTCTTGCAGCCTGCTCTATCTAAAGCATCCTTACCTCTTTTCATTAATGCTGCCGTCATCGCTGATGGTGTCTTTTCTTCAACAGACAACACCGCTTCCGGACTTTGACCTAAGTCTGCCACTGTTTCTAATCTGTTCAAACCTTCCCGAGACTTTCCTAACAGTAGAAGCCTTGCAATTATCCATGAGGCTTTGAGGATCTGAATCCCGTTACCCACTCCCAGGCACTACACTCCAGGCACCATCGTCTCCATGGCTTCCTAATTTAGCCAGACACATCCTCCCTTAGGACCCTGCCTACTGGTTTCTTTTGCTTGGCTAGCTCTTCTCCAAGAGAACTGAGGGGCTAGCTTGCTTTCTGTTAAAAAATTGAACGCAAATCCACCTTCTTGTTAAAGTAGACTACAATCTCCTCATCTCCTGTTCGACTCTACCCTTAACCTCATCAACATCCCTCTGATCCCAGCTACTTTCCCCCTGCACATGATTGGTTTCTTCTAACAGAATGCCTGCAGTCATTATTCACGGTGTGTTTTGGTTTGGGACATGCCTTTCTCACATAACCAACTACAGGGCAGGAGTCAGGCCTAGAAAAATGCTTGGCTCCTAAGAGTCACCTAATAAATATTTGTAGAATGAATGAATGGGAGTGACAAGAACAAGCCCCACATAAATTGTATGGTACCAAGGTTGGCTTCTGATTTCCTTGAATCTAGTCTACATCTCACAAATTTATGCACAACTATGGCTGTTGAATCCTCAGTAGAGATGAGTTGGATCAATGGATGAAGGCAGTTTGTTTGAGATAATTCTGCTTTATTCTTTTACTTTGATTTGATATGTTATAGTTTTTTAGTTCCACCCATAAAACAACTTTGGAATGTGGTTCACATCCTCCAGTTCGGGTTTCGGGTTCTTCTTTTTCTGGATGCTTGGGTGTCACCTGCCAACACACCTGGTCTCCAGTGCAGTCCGGTCTCCCGTCTTTCTGTGATGCTTTGGACAAATGACTCTGCTGTCCTTTCTCTCCTGGTCGGTTTGAGGCTCTAGATCAGTGCTGTCCAACACACGTATAATATGAGCCACATAGACAATTAGAAACATTTTTATTGCTATATTGAAACAGTAAAAATAATGAAGTGAAATGAATTTTTAACGCTATATTTTATAAACTTAGTATATCCAAAGCATTATTCTTCTCAACCTGCTCTGGGTATAAAATGTGGATGAGATATATGACATTCCATTTTTTTTCTCTGAAACACAATCTTTCAAATTCAGGGAGTGTTTTATACCTTTTTTGTTGTTGCAGTGTGCCACCATATTGATTCCAATACATTTCCAGTCTGACTGGGCCCCTTTGCACACTCCATCAGAACACACATCTCCTGAATCCTCTGTGGAACCCACATGACCTTAGATTCTTCTAGTTTGGTTACAGGCATCGTTTCACGTGGTCCTGAGGGAGGAGCTTTCGGTATGATTGTGGTTAGCTGCGGTGGAGTGGGCCCCCAACTCCTGGTGACCCCTTGGAAAAGGGACCATGACGCAGCCTGCTCTTGCATCATCACCCAGATCAGCTCTAGATCATGACTTTGGAATGTACAGCGGCACAGGCCTTTCTCCATAGTCCATCTTAGTCTTGGAAGAGGAGCATATCCCACTGAACCACCTAGAATCCAACGGCTTCCCTTCTAGTCTTACGTCCCAACCACAGACTGAAGAAAGCTCCACTTTGCTGTAAACCATTGGTTGTTTGGCTGGATCAGCCAGCCTTGTTAACACACTTTAAATATTCTTCTGTTCAGACTTCCTACCACTGATATTACTTGAAAGACCCCATGCTATCCCACACAGGTGCTATACTTCAACGAATTTTCTCAGAATGAGAACGAAGAGCCAAACCCTTGCCTGAAGAGCAACACCCACGAGGTGGTGGATGACAGTGGTGTGGAAGGGCAGGAAAGGATGAAGGGGGCTCTGAATCTGCCGGTGAGTTCCACAAGCCACTGCCCCACATACCAACGAGCTGAGCCGATACTTGACTGTGTTTGCTGCCTGAAACATGACATCCCACTGCAGGTGACCTGTCACTCCTTTCTGATCATGCAGCCTTGTATAGGACCATGGCTTGAAACCAGTTTCCTAAAGAGTTGAATCTAGTATCTTCTTTTCACGATAAAGAAACATAGATGTCTCTCCCTCTACTCACCTGCTTTTCCAAGACACAGGTTCCAAAAGGGAGCCTGGTCCAGCATGAATGGTGGCGAGAGGGGGCCAGCTGAGGGATCCTTCTTGATCCCTCTACCCTCGCCTGTTCCCCTTCATGCGGAAAGCTGTCCTGGCCCTGAGGACTTTCAAGGGCTGTTTTCCAGCAGTTACAAAAAGATCTGCAGGCTAGAAAGCTTAGAGGAGAATGGAGCGAAGATCGTCTTGTACTCAAATCATTTTGAACGTAGAGAGTAATGAGAGTTGGTCTATAATATACCAGGCCTCCAGAAACTCTCCACCCCCCACCCTGTGTCTCGGTACAATCTAGGAGTCATGATGTCTCAGTGTGTCCGTCCTCTCCCTCCTCAGGTCTGTCCTTCTGAGCTTCCTCCCTTGCGAAGCAAAATCACATCTCATTATGCAGAGTGTTGGTAGCTGCTGTTAGGTTGGCTTCCAGCTGTCTAATGGGGGCCTCGTGCCCAGTGTGATTGGATCCTCGTGATCCACAGGGTTTCCCCAGCTGCTATTTGGAAGGAGATCACTAAGTCTTTCTTCCTAGTCTGTGTTAGTGTAGAAGCTCTGCTGAAACCTGGTTAGCCTCCCAGTAACACACAAGCCTCCGCTGACAGAGCAGCGCTGGCCGCCTGGGATGTGCACTGGCTGGGAAGTGAACCTGGGTCTTTCTCTTAGAAGGTGAGTGTCCTACCACTGGGCCACCGGCCACTCCCAATAATGACACTAAGATCACATATGGCTCTTGCTTCTACTAGGATGAACCTTCCAGTGATGGGAGTGGAGTTCTCAGCTGCTGCTTCGGAAGGCTCCTCTCTAAACTGGACCGAATCCGAGTTGACTACACTCTGAGTATTGCCAACAGACTCTACGGAGAGCAGGGATTTCCCATCTGCCCGGTGAGCTACGCAGGCCTGGGGATTAAAGCTATACCTCGGTGTGGTATTTTAAAAGGATTGAGTAGTCAGGTCACTTGCCTGCTGGAGCCTGTCCTGTGGGCTCTGGAGGGGGTGGGGGCTTTTGACCCACCTCTTTCTTTTCCACACCTCCCGGTTTCCTCCTCCCTCAGCCCACCCAAGCCTGTTGTGAGTGGCGCAAAGGATCAGGGCACCCCAAACCTTCAGAGCATCCATGGGTTTGACCCTCTTTCCCAATCAAAGTCCAGATGTACAGTACTTGGTAGCTCCTCTTGCAGTGGGCTCTCCTCAGGGGTCTTCACTGAATTACCTTTTGTGCCACAAGCAGACCACCCCCAATGAAACTGGACTTGCTAGACTGTGAGTCAGACCGACTCCTTGGCAGTGCACTTGGGTTTATGCTCCTGAGAACAGAGTGGTGTAGTGGGAGGAGACTCTACTCAGTCAAAAAAAAAAAAAAAAGCTGAGGTCTCTGAGGATAGCCAGCTTTGTGTCTGTTGTGACTTGTTTCCTGTTTCGCCACTAGAGGGAGGCACATCCTTAGCAATAAAAGTGAGGTGCGCCATCAGGGGCATTTAGAGGTCACAGTTAGTTTGGGGGGAGTCGGGGGCAGGGAATTGTGTTTGACCAAAATAAGTATGTTCTCTTACTGTGGAGATGGGAGTTTATACGTTGGGTGTTAACTCTTAAAAATGGTACAGTTAAGTCTTCTAAATTTCTTTTCTTCTTAAAAAAATTACTATTAATTGGGAGTTAATACATTTACATTCCATAGTTCAATCACAAGTTGAACTGTACAATTGCTACTATAATCAGTTTCCACACATTCTCTTTTTTCCTGGACTCCTTGACATCGTCTCCCTTGTACCCTCCCCCCACACTGTAGCCCCGTCTCCCCAAGAACCCTTATTCTGCTTGCTGTCCCTTTAGGTTCACCAGTCCTGGGTTTCATATAGTGAAGAACAGAAAGACACATAGCACAGCGTCATGACAGTGACCTCCAGTGACATAACACCTCTGAGGTCCACCTTAATAGGAAGGAACACAAACAAAACAAACATGAAACATTTCAATAGTTGTCTTGTGACCGTTCACATCGATTGCCTCAATAAAAGGATACCTAGTAGGAGAGGATCCTGTCTTTCAAACCCTGTTCTGCTTTATGAATAAACATTCCATATTCTAATCTGTCACTGCAAGGACAAAGTACCTCTGGCGAATGAATGCTTGGAATAACACCGGCAGCCTGGACCTCTGGGCGTCAGTGACAGGGACATCTTTCTCAGTAGGCTTTTGGGCGACTCATGGATGCTGTGCTGCTAGTAACTCAGCGATGGCACTTTATCACACGGTTTCCTATATATTCCAATGTCACAGGAATACTTGGATGGCGTGATTCAGTTTTACCACACCACAGTTGAAAGTATTGACTTCCGGAATGACACCGAAAAGTCCAGACAACAGATTAACTTCTGGGTTGAATCTCAATCGCAAGGTAAGAAAGAAAACAGCACATCGTGGCAGGTATTCCTGTGTATGGAAAAAAGAAATCCCTCCAGTCCAGCTCTTCAGGCTTCTGGTCTGTGGGGACCAGAGATGCCTGTGTGTGAACCGGGTTCAAGGTGGGTTCTGCAGGTGAAGCAGGTTACAGGGTGTAGATGCTGCTGCTACTGCATCTCCTTCACGATTGCTACTCTCTCATCCCAAAGCGGAAACATCTGGCGGTCAAGCACAGAGTCAGCAGAACGTGAACTGTCTCCCGTGTTTTAAAAGAATCAGTAAAAGTTAAGATGACAAAGAAATCCTAACTACTCACAGGGACCTGAAACCAATAATATCCCGATTGTAATGTGTTGTTGTTAGGAGCTGTCCGGTTCGTTGTCAATCACAGCGACCCCAGCCACAACAGAATGGAGTACTGCCCGGTCCTGCCCCACCCTCACAGCGGTTGCTATGTCTCAGCCATCCTTGCTGTTCCTATGGCAATCCATCCCATTGAGAGTCTTCTTTTTAGTAGATAATAGGCGTTTACAGGGTGGGGAGATGTTTGCAGATGATGGTAAGCAGTGATCATTTGCGTTCAACCTAGATGAATAATACTTTAATATATAAAACTCCCTTTGAGCCCTGTCTGGAGGCCATAAAGTGGAGTCTAAATGGACAACTGGACCAATAAACCACATCGGAGTAAGTGGAGACAAGATTGAGTGGATACAGATTTAATTTTACCCGGATTCACAGTCAATGCCCACGGAAGAAGCAGTCCAGGAATCAGATGATGCGTTGCCTTGGGCAAATCTGCTGCAAAAGCCTTCGCAACAGAGCTGAAAGCGAAGATGTCACTCTGAGGCCTGGGGTTCCCCCGACTCCAGCCATGATGTTTGCAATCCCCTTATATGCATGGAAAGGCTGGGGAATGAAAAAGGAAGACCCCCCAAAATGGATGCATTTGAATTAAGATGTCGGTGAGGAATATTGGCTAAACCACAGACGGCCAGAAGACTGCACTGTCTTGGAAGAAGCATAGCGAGAGTGCTCCTTAGATGCAAGGCGGGTGGGACTCAGGCTCACATACTTCGGGCATGTTACCAGGAGGGACCAGGCCCTGGAGGGAGAGGTCATGCTTAGTGAAACAGAGGACGCTCCTCCCTGAGATGGATGGACATGGTGGCCCCAACAGTGGGCTCCGACACAGCGAGGGCCGGGAGATGGACCCAGAACGGCGCTGTGGTTTGCTTGGTTGTACATGGTGCAGCTAGGGGCTCGAATAGGCTTGACACCCCCTCATATCAACAGTAAATAGACGAGACAGACTGTGCGTTGATTGCGTGTGTGGCAGAGAGTTGAAGTTGCAAGAGGGCCATGTGGCCTGTTGGACAGGACCTCCATGGGGGGTGGGGGGGCTTCTGAAGTGGCCATCCTGTCCCAATCCTACTTAAGCTAATCTGGCGCCATCCTTGCCTGCAGGAATCTCAGCTCATGAAACACACCAGCCTGAGTGCCTGCGGAGGAGGCCTCCGCGGTGAGCCTTTCGGTGAACTAGCTTCTCTCAGGGCCCTCCATCCAAATGCCCTCCTTCTAATCTTTTCCCATTGCTTACGCTGTTTCATAGCCCTTCCAAAAAACGTATGAGGGGCCGTTGGCTCAATAATTTGGTGCTTGGTGAAATGCCCACTGCTGCCTGGTTGTCGCCTGGCAGAGCCAGAGGTTCCACACTGCTGGGATGCCTGTCCTGAAACCTAACAGGAACCAAATGGCACTAGGGGTCTGCTGGCAGCTACCTAACCACAGGGACTCGGGGACTAGGGCCCTTGTTCGGTAGGCACGCGTGTAGAACAGCACAGCAGAATGGAGATGAGAGCTTGCCTTCATGGACTTTCTCCCCCTTGAGCGGAAGTCATTGTCGCATAGTTCTCAAGTTCATCTTCCCATCTAAATAGGTCCTCTTTGTTTCAGCATTCGTAAGGCTTTCGTCACAGTTTTGGACTTCTCTTTGTTTCTGTGGATTGATCCATATCATTTATTTAAGACCACACCAATTTTCAGTGTTGCCTATCTCATTTGCTCATAGAATCAAAACTCACATTATCTGAAAACTATCCATCGAAATAGCTATTGTTCTGTCATATTAGGGATTCTTATGTCCTATCCCTTAGATTTACAATATCTACCACACAACAAAAAGAATACAGATCATTAAAACAACAAACTCTATAGAGAGTTTCACACCTACAATCATTGTCTCTGTGTCTTCTGTTTATTTGTAATTAGCATCTAAATTCACATTGCCTTAAAAAGATCTGTTTTTTGTTATGCTTTTTTTGTCATTGGATTTTTGTTGTTGTTTTGCTTTCTTTTGTTGCTTGATTTTGCTCTGTCTTGTTCTTGTGCATGTTATTTTCTCCACAAGTCTGTCTAAATAAGATAAGTTGCATGAAAAATCTGGAGGAAAAAACAATGGGACTGACAGTTCCAGAGGGACATGGAAGAGGGGGAGATGGGGGGAAAGGAAGTGGTGTTAACAAACCCAGGGACAAGGGCACAACAAGTGATCCAAATTGGTGGTGAGGTGGGTGTGGGAGGCCTGGTAGGGCATGACCAAGGGTAATGTGACTGAGAGGAATTACTGTAACCCAAATGAAGACTGAACATGATAGTGGGGCAAGAGGAAAGTAAAAGGAAATAGAGGAAAAAGCTAGGAGGCCAAGGGCATTTATAGAGGTCAAAATAAAGGCATGTACATATATAATATATGTTTATATATGAGGATGGGGAAATAGATTTATGTGCATATATTTATAGGTTTAGTATTAAGGAAGCAGATGGACATTGGGCCTCCATTCAAGTACACCCTCAATGCAAGAATACTTTGTTCTATTAAACTGGCATTCCATGGTGCTCACCTTCCCGACATGATTGCTGAAGACAAAGTGGGTGCATAAGCAAATGTGGTGAAGAAAGCTGATGGAGTCCAGGTATAAAAAGATATAGTGTCTAGGGTCTTAAAGACTTGAAGGTAAATAAGCAGTCATCTAGCTGAGAAGCAACAATGCCCAATTGGAAGAAGCACACCTGCCTGTGTGATCACGAAGTGCCAAAGAGTTCAGTTATCAGTCATCAAAGAACAAAAAATCATATCATTGTGTGCTCACTTCCCCGATATGATCGCTGAAGATAAATGGGTGCATAAGCAAATGTGGTGAGGAAAACTGATGGTGTCCAACTGTCAAAAGATATAGCGTCTGGGGTCTTAAAGGCTTGAAGGTAAACAAGTGGCCATCTAGCTCAGAAGCAACAAAGCCCACATGGAAGAAGCACATCAGCCTGTGTAATCACAAGGTGTCGAAGGGATGAGGTATCAGGCATCAAAAAAAAAAAAAAAATCATACCATTGTGAATGAGGGGGAGTGTGGAGTGGGGACCTAAAGCCCATCTGTAGGCAACTGGACATCCCCTTACAGAAGGGTCATGGGGAGGAGATGAGCCAGTCAGCATGCAGTGTAGCAATGATGAAATATATAACTTTCTTCTAGTTCCTAAATGTGTCCTCCCCCTCATCCCCCACTATCATGATCCCAAATCTACCTTACAAAGCAGGCTAGACCAGAGGATGTACACTGGTACAGATAGGAACCGGAAACACTGGGAATCCAGGACAGATGATCCCTTCAGGACCAGTGATGAGAATGGTGATACTGAAGGGTGGAGGGAGGGTGGGTAGAAAGGGGGAACTGATTACAGACATCTGCATATAACCTTTTTCCTGGGGGATGGGCAACAGAAAAGTGGGTGAAGGGAGACATTGTACAGTGTAAGATATGACAAAATAATAATTTATAAATTATCAAGGGTTCATAAGGGAGGGGGGAGCAGGAAGGGAAGGGGAAAATGAGGAGCTGATGCCAAGGGTTTAAGGGGAGAGCAAATGTTTTGAGAATGATGACGGCAACAAATGTTCAAATGTGCTTGACACAATGGTTGGATGGATGGATTGCGATAAGAATTGTATGAGCCCCCAATAAAATGATTAAAAAAAAGAGTTGTATGAGCCCCCATTAAATGGTTATATTAAAAAAAGAGAACTCATCCAAGTACTGCTGTTTCTGGTATTGATCAAAGGGAATAAAGAGAAGCTCGAGAGGAGATCAGGCCAGGAGCGTTTCGGAAAGATGGCTCTATCACACGATGAGGAGGGCAGAGGGGATGTGACCAAGGTGGTTGAGAGAAGGTGCCATTGCAGCGGGCCAACAGGAAGGCACTGGTGGTTTGGCCTGGTTGGTAGTAGGGAAGGTGGTCAGAGTGAATGGGTTTGAGGGGAATTTGGAAGGAGTTGTCACGGAAGACCAGTAGTCCTGGGACAAGGACCCTGTGCTTGTAAAATGCAGAGGCAGCAGAAAAGAGGAAGACCGGCAACAAGACGGATTGGCACAGTGGCTGCAACAACGGGCTGAAACAGAAGAACAGTGTGGAGCTGGCACAGGACTGGGCAGCGTTTCATCTGTTGGACGTCGAGTCCCCATGAGTTGGAACAGTCTGGATGGCACCCAACAAGAGGGAGCCCAAGCAGCCGTACAACCAGGACTTCATCCAGGTGTTTAATGACAGCTGGAGATTTTCATTATTCAAAATGCAAATCGGAGTCTATATTATTACTCATGCCTCTGAATAACATGGGTAAATTATCTTAATGCAATTATGGAAATATGAGGGGTCCCCCCACCCACACCCAAATAGATTTTTTCCCAAAGCTATGTATTTAATTTTCTTTTTTACAAAAAAGGCTTCACTTTCAATCTCCATTACTCTCCTTATCACTCTCCACGACACTTAATACCTTTATGATTGTGATTCCATTCTTGGAAACCATTTTCAAACTCATCTGTTTGGATGGCTGATAGCACCTCCCTCATTTTTTTCTTCACCACTTCTACATCATCAAATCACTGTCCTTTCATGCCCCTCTGCATTCATGGAAGCTAAAAGAAGTCACATGGAGTGAGGTCAGGTGAGTAAGGTGCATGGAGCAAGAGAGGCATGCTCTTTTGGCCCCATACTGGCACATTGAGCTGGCTGCATGAGCAGGTGCATTGTCATGGTGGCAAAATCAGTCCATCATGTGCCACAAATCTGGCTTTTTTTGTCGCACACTGCTAGGCAATCTTTTCAGAACCTCTAAACAGAAAGCTTGATTAACAGTCTGACCTGGTGGAACACCCTCCAAATATACTATGAGTCGACGTTTTCTGTCTGTTCGGGAAGTTGATGAATGCATAGAGCGAGGTTTGTCTTCAGGCAACATTTCACCTCTTTTGAAATGAGAAAACCACTTGTACACTTGAGTTTTTCCGATAGTGCTGTCCTTGTAAGCTGTGTTCAACACACAGCAGTTTCTGTGGCATTTTGTACAAGCAGGAAACAACATTTCACCACTGCATGCTGTTCTCTTCAATCGGCCATCACAAAAAACGAAGTTGGATTGAAACTGGTTTTGTGAAAAAGTTCACAGTGACCAGATTGAACCTTCCCAAGCGATGCCACTGGGTGCACTAACTCAGAGTGAGTTGCTAGATGCTCACCTAGTGGGAAAAATGCCTTCTATAAAAGCTCCACTCAGTGGAGCCTTTTTTCAGTTTTTGTTTTGGTACCCCCTCATACATATACACATAGACGTATTTATGTACATAGAATCTGACTGATACATAAGATCAGAAATTTACTCAACAGTTCTTTTCTCAAGGAGCTTATAATAAAATCAAGCGGTGTGATTGGTCCTTTGCATGGCATGCCGTGGTATAAGATGTCTGATGGGAAGTGTTCAACCACTCCTGTGAGAGAGAATCAGAGGCTCCTTGACCTTTAGAATCGGCACCTCCCATCCTGGGTGGTGAATGCTCCTTCTCTCACCCCAACTCCAGAATGACCACTTCACCCAGGACTGTGAGTGGGAATGACGCCCTCTCCAGCGTGGGTGTGATAATCTGTTAGTTTTCACTCTGTCTACGTGAACGCCTTTGATAGTAGGCTTTTTTTTTTTTAGGTAAAATCAAGGAGCTCTTCAGCAAGGACATGATCAGCAATGCGACCGTGTTGGTGCTGGCCAACGCTGTGTACTTCAAGGCCAAATGGGAGAAAAGCTTTGACTGTCAAAACACAGTTGACGCCCCTTTCTTTCTGAAGGAGGTACTCTGTCGGAACACGTGGTTTCTAGATAATCCGAGCCTAGTGTCCACTCAGAATCATTTGGCAGTCGTATATTTACATGTAAAATGTAGGTCTACAGGCGGTGGCTTCCATTTATAACACGAACCTAAAGGTCTTGAGCATTTTGGTGTCAGGCACTGGACTGAGCATTTTCTAGCCAACCTTAAATGTGCCAGCCACCATCGTCCAAGAAGCTGGTGGTAGGGAGGGGGCTAAGTCAGGGGTGGGGGTGGGACTTTAATCAGTGGAGGTGAGACTCCCAGAGGTCAGCACTTCTGATCCAGAGCCTTTCCATCTTAACTGCACTTGCCCGATTCCAGGGGTGTCGGCAGCCAAGAGGCTAAGGCATTGTGAGTTTGTGAGTTTATCATGGCAACCCAGGGCTCCCTCTTTGTCAACTGCAGAAGGAAAAGAAGACTGTCAAGATGATGAACCAAAAGGGCCTCTTTCGAATTGGCTTCATCAAGGAGCTGCAGGCACAGATCCTGGAAATGAGGTACATCAAGGGGAAGCTCAGCATGTTCATCCTGCTGCCATCGGCCTCTTCAGACAACCTGAAGGGACTGGAAGAGGTAACGATTTTCTCGTCTCTGCGTGTTTAATGACAGGCATTTAGAACACCACATTCCCTGCTACCTGTGGTGCTGAGGAAGGCTGAACTATCAGAGGTAGACAAGAATACAGAAATCAGAAGCCAGATAGCCAATCAACTCTGGCAGTTGGCAGCACCGTCCCGTCCCCCCCCCACCCCCATTTTGGGTGTGTCAGCGTAGAACTGTGCTCTGTGGGCTGGTGCTTCACTGTGCTTTAATGGCTGGTGTTTCAGTAGAGACCAGATCTTTCTTAGCAGTCTGAGAAGCCACTTACTCCTCCTGTGTTGAAATCTAAAGAGGACATTTTCACTTGAACTTCATAGCTTTTTGTAAATTGTCCCCTCCCCCCCCAAAGGAATCAGAATGGTGAGTGACATCCTGTTGTCCTTGTTAGATGCCTACGAGTGGGGTCTGACTCATCACAACTCTATGCACAGTGGACCAAAACACTGTCGGGTCCTGCACCATGCCTAAGGCCATTGCTATGTTTGAGACCATTGTGGCAGCCACGGTGTGAATTCATCTCCTGAGAGTCTTCCTTTCTTTTGCTGGCCTTCTACTTTACCAAGCAGGATGTCCTTTTGCCAGGGACGAGTTTCTCCTGATAACATGCCCAAAGCATGTGAGATAAAGTTTTAGCATCCTTGCTTCTAGGCAGCATGCTGGCTGTTTTACAGAACTGGAGGTCGCTTTCAGAATGTGAAGGTCCAACTCTCCTAATGGATGAGCTGAGCGCTGCTGGCCGGGCACACTAATCGTCTGCAGTCACAGCACACTGGAGCCCAGGATGTCCCATAACTTTTTCTAAAGAGGAGAGAGATTAGGTTGGAGGAGCTTTAAGTGAAATCAAAGCACTTAGGCAAAGACCTAGATGCTCGTCAATAAGTGTTGACATCGATTCAGTTGCTGTGGAGCACTTGGGCCTTCCTTTCAGGCCCTTCAGCGGAGCCTGTGCTTGTTCTTGGTTACATTGAGCCAGTTGTGGCTCTGGCAATCCACTGTGCCGTGGAAGGTGGTACCTGGTCCTGCACCACCCTCCCAATTGTTGCTGTGTTTGAGTCTATGCCTGAAGCCACTGTGTTCATCTACCTCACGGAGAATCCACCCCCCCAACCACCCCCCCGACTACAAGCATGATGTCTTTTTCCAGGGACTGATCTGTCCTGATAATATGTCTAAAATTTATGAGACGAAGTCTCACCATCCTTGCTTCTAAGGAGCAATCTGGCGGTACCTTGTTGAAGACATATTTGTTTATTCTTCTCACCGTCCATGGCATATTCAGGATTATTCACCAATATAAGAATTGAAACACAGCAAATTTTCTTCCATCTTCCTTAATCATGGTCTAGATTTTACACGCATATTATGTGATTGAAAAGAATACCATGGCTTGTGTCAAGAGCACCTTAGCCTCCTAACTGCCAGCTTTGCTTTTTAACACTTTAAGGAGATCGTCTGCAGCAAACCTGACCCTAAATATTGTTTCTCTTCTCCCCTGTAGCTTGAAAGTAAAATGACTTATGATAAAATAATGACTTGGACGAGCTCTGAACATATGTCAGAAGAGCAAGTGGTTGTGTCCTTCCCCCAGTTAGCCCTGGAAGACAGCTACAATCTCAATTCTATTCTGCAAGACATGGGCATTGTGGATATCTTTGATGAATCCAAGGCGGATCTTTCAGGAATCTCTTCCAGCCCCAATGTGTTCCTGTCGAAGATAGTCCACAAGACATTCTTGGAGGTGGATGAAGATGGCACCCAGGCAGCTGCAGCCAGTGGGGCAGTTGTTGCTACAAGATCAAAGACGAGCTATGAGACATTTAATGCCAACCGCCCTTTTCTCTTTTTCATCAGACACAACAAAACTCAAACCCTCCTCTTCTATGGCAGGGTCTGCTCTCCTTGAAAGGAGGGTAGCGTCTCATATTGGGAGCTGGCGGAATACGGCCATGCGTGCTTTCCAGCTCATAATTCAGGCACTGACTGCGTTGCCTTCACAGCTCCATCCTCTCTCCAATGCTTACAGGTGCTTGTCTTCATCTTTGTCTCATTCTCACATGAGGCCATTAGTTTTGAAGTGTCCTTTCTCCCTCCCTATCCTCTCTACCACCCACAGGTTTCAAGCATTCCCATTCACTCCCATTGACCTGAAGACCAACATGATTCAGAATGAGGTTGATCTGATTGAAGTTACTTAGGTTCTTGAAAGCTCAAGAACCACTGGACCACTGCTGAGTGATGGCAAAGTCAGAAAACACTTTAACATGGGCAGTAAGAGGAAATGCTTCCATGAAAGCCCAACTCTGTTTCCACAGCAGTTGAATAGAGCTGAGACTCCTGCCTCTCCCTCTTCAATTTCATGGAAAGTGTCCTGTGAGGTGCTTCTCACTTGGGAGGAAGCAGGACTTGGGATGAAGTCCTACACAGTCCTCACTTTTAACAGGGTAGGAGAATGGCACTTGTCTTGTGGATTTGATCCAAGAGTGGTCGGTGGATTTACAAGAGATTGACCTCAGTTTTCCTTATTGAGTCTCACAGGGCAACACCAACAAACACAGCCCTCTGCCCCACCCTCAACTCCTTCTTCAAGGTATTCCCATCGGCAATTATTCTTAACTACCTAGCTGCTGAGTTTCGGGGGAGGAGACTGCCTTCTCTGTAGAGTGCTGGGTTCCCCCTCCCCTCTGTATTCTTATTCTCCTGAATTCATTCTCTTGACACATTTTCTTTATTCTCAATAAATATGACATGACATATTTACCTACTCCTCAATTATAGATATGGTTAGGTTCTAACCACAAGGTTTTATGTGAAAATTGACATTATGTGAAAATGGAGGATTACCACATCAAACCATGAGATGGAAGATGACCATATCTTTACATAATTGTCAAATGTCATCATTATATGACTGCCAAACCATTGAGAATCGTGGACCAGCCAGGTTGATATATAGCTCTAACCATTATAGTCTCCGGCCTTGGTGTTTGTTACTGCCTGACATATATTTCTAATGTGCAAAATAGTCAGAGAGTAGATTTTTGTTTTTTTACTATGGTCATGAATGCAAAATGTAGGATTATGAGATAGGTGTTAAATGAGGAATAGTTATATTCCTAATCACTCAAACTTGATCCATAATAAAGTCTCTTACCAAAAGTCTCTATACACTTGAAGTTTAATGTATAAAATGTTAATGTGTATATTCGAATACAGTACGTTTTCCTTCTAAATGATATTTTATAGCATGCACACCAAAGAACACCTTAGGTATAGATGGGCAAAGATTATTTAAGAAGCAATCAAATGCACAAAGTGTGATTGCAGCCCACACACTCTGCAGACACATATAGGTTCTGAATCGTTCTATGTTCAAAATTAAATAAATGGGAAAAATGATAGGGTTACGAAAAAATAGGGCCAAGTAAGGAAGAGTTACACAATGCTATAGATGAGAAAGAGAGAGTTCAAAAATGATTTATGGCAAAAGCTAGTGGCATAATTTGGAAAAAAAAGATAACAATTATGACATCTATGATATTGTAGCAAAAATCCATGAAGACAAATTATCACCAGGTGTTAAGGAACTTAGTGGGAAATACAAAGACTGCGAGGAAATGAAACTGCATCTGGAGGCTATAAATCGATGTTGGAGATGCTGATCATTTAACCGTTCATCACTTTCTTACAAACGTGAACCTTGTTGCAAAGCATAGTAAACAACAAGGAGGAAGTTGGTAGATGGAGATCAAGAGCAGAAAGTAAACTCAAACTTAATAACTGGTGCTTCTGAGAAAGAAGGCAGATTGATTGGCATGAATACAATAGTCAAAGACATGATAGAAGAAAACTTTCTTAGAAAGTCATATGATTATGTTGATTATGTTATCTTTTCCAAGAGAACGAAATAAAAATAAATATCCCGAAACCTTTAGAATGAAAGACTGAGAAAGTAATCTTACTTGCTTTGGGGCAGACAAGGAAACTTTGTCTGTAGGTTTGTGGGGAGAAATACATGACTAAGTCATCTAATATTCACTCAGCTTTTGGGGGAGAACATGCTCAGGTATAAATATACCTGTGAGTACAGGTATGCTTTATTCTCAGCAACTAGCACCAGGATAATTATTGCTTATGTTGTTGTTGTGTGCCGTTGAGTTCATTCCAACTCAGAGCAATGATTTATAACCGAGTAGAACTGCCTCATAGAGCTTTCTCGGCTCAATCTTTAGGAGCAGATTGCCAGATCCCTTCCCTCATAGAGCAGGTTTGAATTAAATGCCTGCATTTTTGAGTAGAACCCAGTGCAAAAAGGTCTATGAAGAAATTTCTTCTGCAAAACTGTGATTTCAATACAACAGTCAAAGGAAGAAGATAAACTCCTCATTTTGAATTCTCACCATGCCCCAAGATTTCTAGCAGTATGACTCTTTCTTAAGCAACACATACACACACACACACACACACACACACACACACACAAATGTTGGCTTAAGGCCTAGGGCATTTTAGTAACCAGAAGAATACTGCAGTCATCAACTCTTTGTGGCGTAGTGCTTCAGTACTAGGCTGCTAACCTCAAGACTGATAATTCAAACCTAGCCAGTGGCTCTCTGGACGAGAGAGCTGGTCATGTTTCTGCGAAGACTGCAGTTTAGAAAACCTGATGGGGCGGTTGGACTTTGTTACCTGGAACCTTTTTGATTTGGAGGAACTTTCTCGACAGCCCTTAATAACATGACCACAACACTACAATGGGGTGTTTTTGTCTGCCAGTGTTGTCTAAAAACATTAGATGAGAGGGCTTCAAAAAGTTTGAAGAAAAATTCCATGATCTTTCAACTCTGTTTGTCCATGAAATTTTTGAAGAACTAATCTCTCAGTCATCCCGAGAGGTTGTTGTTCCTAGTTGTCATTGACTTGGTTCAATGACAACATTATAGTTAACAGAAGGACACAGTACCTGGTCCTGTGCACCCTCACCATTGTTGGTATATTTGTCACCATAGAAGCAGCCAAGAGGTGGTGCTGTTGTTGTGAGGATCCAGCTCATAGTGACCCTATGCACAACAGAATGAAACACCATCCTATGCTAGCCTCACAATTATTATGCTTGAGCCCATTACTGCAGCCACTGTATCCATCCATCTCCTCGGGGATTGTCCTCTTCTTCACTGCCCCTCCCCTTTACCAAGTATGATGCCCTTTTTCAGTGACTGCTCTCTCCTGACAACATGTCCAAAGTATGATGTGAAGTTTTGCCATCCTCTCCTCTGAAGAGTACTTTTCCCAGGACAGATCTGTTTGTTCTTTGGGCAGTCCAGGGTACTTTCAGTATTCTTCGCCAGCACCATGATTCAAAGGCATCCATTCTTCTTTGGTCGTCCTTATTCAATGTCCACTTTCCACATACATCTGGGATGATTGGGCCGGGTGCACCTTAGCCCACCTTTGCTCTTCAGCATTTTAAAGAGACGTTGTGCCGCAGATTTGCTCAAAGTGATGTGTTCTCTGATCTCTTGACGGCTGCTTCCATGAGCATTGATTGTGGATCCAAGCAAGATTGAATCCTTGACAACTTCAATTTCCCCCCCCCTGTTTGTCATAATGTTACCTGGTGGCTCAGCTATGAAGATTTTGGTGTTGTCTGATTACAATATTCAGTTGTCATCGATATGGAAGGCGGCAATCCTTGATCTTGAGAGGTAGGTTATTGTTATTATCCACCCTTCACACATGGGGAAACCAAGGCACAGAGGGTTAAGTTGCTTTCCTCACTCATCCAGCTAGAGTGGTTGAACTAGAGTTTGAACTTGACGGTCTGACTCCAAACAAGTCCATGCTCTTAACTGCTGTCCTATCCTCCTAAAAGGAAATAGAGACTCTCAAAGGCCATTTGTTTTCCGTTCTTTATTGGCAGAGGTGAACTTGGAGGACATGGGTGTACCCGAGATAAACAGTTCTGAGTGGGGGAGCAGGTCTAGAGCTGAGTGTTCTCATGCTCTTTTAGATTGGAGGAGGACGACTTGGGGGACAGAGGAGCATGGGACAGGCTACTACTGTGGCACCAGGTGGAGCATGGCAGTGGCAGCTGTGTTTCCCTTCCCCTGCCTTGGGCCACACTGTGAGCTGCAGAGGCAACTGCTAGTAAGTGTGTCTTCCTGAGTCATAAAGGCATATCAAGATTTGCCTGGCAACATCAGAGAGGAAGAGAAGTTTGCACCCCAGGTTTATGAGCTGCTAATATGTTTGAGAACTCATCCAACTCCTTCTCCCAGCTGTCAATTGCCAAAACAAGATGTGGTAACCCAAACAGCTTTGGCAGACAGCCCAGCGACAAATCTCAAGCACAAGCATGAAGATTCTGCCTAGAATCACCAAAATTCTGAAGAAAACCACCCCCAGGCAAGAAGGAAATCACCCCAACACAGTCAACAGGCCAAACGCGGGGCTTCAAATATATCAGCGACATAATTAATGACCTCCGTAAAATAAGATCAGGGCATTATGGAAAGACTCATTTAGAGCACTTTGAGACAAAGTTAATACTTACCAAGGACCAATAAGCGGTCAAATAGCCCAGTGAGCACAGCTGAGGTGTCCATGGGAACCTGAGCTATAGAATTGGACAAAACACAGAGCCCAAAGATAATGAGTTAGAAGACATTTAAAAACCCCCAAACAAACAAAACATCAAGAAAATAAATAAAAAACCCAAGAATCATGCTTGATAGATTAAGAAGTCCCAAGATTCGTTAGTGGGTAATTCTGGAGGACAGAACGGAAACCACTGAGCTCAGGAAGTACTCAAAGAGATAATACAAGAAAACGGTACAGAATTGAAAAAAAATCATGTATCCTTTGATGAAAGGGTTCAGGGAAAACCCACATTTCTGCATTTTCACC